GGGTCACACAGCTAGTAAGTATCAAGTGTCTGGTCTGAGATGGGATTTGAACTCAGGTCCTGCTGACTCCAGGGTCTGTGCTCCATCCACTGTGCCACCTAGCTGCCCCAGGGACTGTCTTTTGCTTCTTTTTAGATACCCTGATTTAGCACTGTGTCTGGCACTTAGCAGGTACTTAATACTTTTTTTTTGATTCATTCCGCATTAAAAATAAATATCTTTTAGCTGCATTTATAATATGTCCTACTCATTATCCCCCCCCACATTGAACCATCACCACAACACCCTGACTCCATTCCCCAAATAGGAGGACAGTCCCTTAGTTTCCAATTTTTGGCTGCTGCAAAGAAGACTGCTATAAATATTTTGGTACATAGAGGTACTTTTCCTCTTTCTTTTATCTCTTTGCTGGTATAGGCCTTATATGGTATTGTTGGGTCAAAAGGTATGTACAGCTTAATAACTCTGGGGATATAGTTCCAAATTGTTTTCCAGAATGACCAATTCACCAGAAGGAGCTTACACTTTAAAAGATGTGAGCAGAGTGGTGGGCAGGGAGGAACATTTTAGTTACAGGCATCTTGACTGGGGTCAAATGCTCTTGCAGGAACAAATGATAGAACTGATTTAATCATGATTTGTGGTTCCAGAACTGGAGATGGTGAAGAAGGAATAATGATATGAAGCTGCTAGGCAGTTGGGGAAGCTATGGAGAAGACAGCTAGAAAGTAGGGAATGAAGTGAAACACTGTTGGGGCTTTCCAGAAAAAGTGGTAGGGGAGAGGCAGTCATTAATTAGGACCTCCCTCTCCACCCCCACCTCCCACCACTAGGGTAGAAGTTGTATCTCAAGATAGTTGTGGGCCCATGAGATGGTTGGAGAATGTTGATTTGATTATTGATCCTAAAACAAGAAGTGGGAGGGAGTATAGGTCTGTATACAGTGGCATTGCAAGATGCATGGCAAGAAGAGTGGTGGATGGGAGAATGATCCAATGGGATTTGAAAAATGGTTTGGGTTATAAGTCTCAACAGATAAAATGGACCATGTGCTTCTCTACTGGCTGATGTATCAACTAGGACAGCATTGGGGAGCTGAATGGATTCAATTACAAGTCACCCAGGGCAGATAGAATCCTAGAATTCTTAGCACAGTGCCTGACACACTTAATAAATGCTTGACTGACTGACTAGAACCTTAGAGTTAAGAGGTCATTATTTCAATTCCTAGAACAATCATAGGAATTCCTTGTGGGAGAGGTGATTGACCTCTCTGACTTTTTTTGAATGCTTCAAATGCCAGAGAGTTGACTTTCTTGAGTTATCTATGTTTGATCTACTCTAATTGTTAAAAGGTTCTTTAAAAAAAAAAAAAGCTCAAATTTGTCTCTCTGAAACTTCCACACATATCTATAAGTTCTACCCTCTGGAGTTAATGTACTTTCTCTTCCCTATGACAGCCTTTCAAATAATTGAAACTAGTGATCATTCCTGTCTTGTCTTTCCATTTCCATACTAAACATTTTGGTTTTTTCAATTGATCCTTGAGTGACAGCTTCTATTAGAGAATTCAAAATGGGAGCTTCTGGGTGGGAGGCAGGGATGTCCTGGAACCATGAACAACCAGCTCTAGAGAACAGACTGGTAAATTTTCAGTGTGAGCATTTACACCTTGAAAAGCATCAAACCCTACAAATCAGGGCTTGATTTATTGTTTTATTAATTTTATAGTAAGGAAATGATGAAGAAAATGTTAATGTAGATTAAATTTAAAAGTATATTCTGTGTCCTTTATTTTTCTGGACAGTTGTTAAACTTTTACAAGTGTACTCCTGGTAGGAGGCAGGAAAAATGAATTCAGATTCAGAGTTGGGGCTTCATGGTTTAATGGAAGGGGAATAGAGCTAGGATTCTAGTCTTTTTAAAAAAAATTTTTAAAGTAAACTTTTATTCATATTTTCTTTTTCTTCCATCACCATAGTTTAATACAGTTTAAGACCTGGAAGTGCTATTCTCCCGTCGTCCTTATTTTATTTTATTTATTTTTTTGGTGAGGCAATTGGGGTTAAGTGACTCACCTGGGGTCACATAGCTAGTGTATCCATGTATCCCTTCCCTCCCCTTCCCTTTTTAGAGAAGGGGGAAGAACTCAGCACAACTGATTGGTACTTTGAAAAAGTCTTAAAAATAATGCAATTTGTAATGCCTGTAGACCTCCCACCTGCACAAAGGATGGGTTGGGACTATTTTCTCCTATCTTTTCAATTCAAATCCTATTTGGTCTTTATAATTTTGCTAATTTTTACTTTTGATTTTTTGGTGTGTTATTCTTTCCATTTACATTGTTGTAGTTAACTGTGTATGTTGTTTTCTTGGCTCTGTTTACTTCACTCTGGATTAGTTCTTTTAGATCTTTCCATGCTTCTCTGTAGTCATCACACACATATTTCTTATAGCACAGTCATGCTCCATTATGGGCAGCTAGGTGGCACAGTGGCTAGAGTGTTGGGCCTGAAGTCAGGAAGATGAGTCTTCCTGAGTTCAAATATGGCTTTAGACACTTCCTAGCAGTGTGACTCTGGGCAAGTCACTTAACCCTGTTTACCTCAGTTTCTTCATCTGTAAAATGAGCAAGGAAACAGCAAACCCCTCCAGTATCTTTGCCAAGGAAACCCCAAATGGGGTCATGTGTTGGACATGACTAAAACAACTGAACAAGAATTACAAATATTTCATTACATTCATAAACCACAATTTGTTTAAATATTTTCCAGTTGAGGGCATCTGCTTTGTTTCCAATTCTTAGCTATCACAAAAAAATATTGCTATAAATATTTTGGTGTATGTGGAGACTTTTTCCTTATTGGTGGCATCCTTGTAATAAAAGCTCAGAAATGGAATCTCTGGTTCAAAGGGTATGAACATTTTAGTCACTTTATTTGCATAATTCTAAATTTCTTTCCAAAATTGTCGTACCATTTCACAGCTCTACTAACAATATATTAGTGTACCTATGTTTCCACAACTCCTCCAACATTGACTATTGACATTGTTAAAAAATCATTTTTGCATATTCAAGGTTTGAGGTGAAACCTCAGGGTTGTTTTGACTTGCATTTTTCTTATTATCAGTGATTTGATGCACTTTTTCATGTGGTTGTGAATACTTTGTAGTTCTTTTGAAACCTGCTTGTTCATATCCTTTGACCATTTATCTATTGGGGAACAGCTATTAGTCATTCATATATATGTATATGTATATATACACATACAGTTTTGGATGCAAACCTTTATCAGAAAAGTTTGATACAAAGATTTTTTTCCCCAATGATCACTTCCCTTCTTATTCGAGATGTATTAATGTTGTCCAAGCAGAGGTTTTCAGTTTCAAGTAATAAAACATACATATTTTATTTTTTCTAATTGCCTCTGTCTCTTGTTTGGTTAAGAATATATCTCCTATCCATAGCTGTGAGGGGTATATGATCTATTTCTCTTTTTTATATTATGATCCTTAATAT